CAATCGTTGTCAAAGGTTGGTCTGTTTCTGAAAGATCCAGTTTTTTCACATGGACAATTGTATGTTGCCTTATCTAGAGTTCAGAGTAGAGAGGGATTAAAATTATTAATTTTAGATAAAGATGGCAAACTCACAAATAAAACTTCCAATGTTGTTTATAAGGAAGTTTTTCGAAATTTGTAGCCAACTTTTTTGTAACGTCGTTTTATTCAATTTTAGGAAATCACACTTAATCCATCATATTACTGTATTTTTTTATAATTACATATTGTTGTATTTTATGTTAATTTCATTACACACATTGGTATTGTATCATCTGCATATGTCCAATTAGAATGATGAATAAAAAAAAATAGTTTTCAAAAATCTTCATTCCTAATTAAATACTTCCCATTTAGTTAGTAATTAAATAATTACCAATAAAAAAATTATTTAAATATTCAATATTACAATTTATAAGTTATCAGAATTATTGATATAATATTTTATTAAATAATTAATTTTTAAATTCAATTCAAAAACAGCACCCGTGGGTTCCACGGATTTTAACCTAGTATTGTAATAATAACTTAAATCTTGAATCTTCTTGTCTTCGAAAGCAAGTACCACAAGTGTAGTACCTCTAATGGTTCACAAACACCAAGACAAAATGGAGAGGCAAGAGAGAAAGATGAGAGATATGGAATTCGGCTCTAGGAACCCTAGATCAAGGCATGTACGAATTTCACATGCCAAGGGGTGTTTATATAGGTGTAGGGATTAGGGTTTCACTCCTTATTCTTATCTGGTGGCTTGCTCACCAAGTAGCCCAAAGGATAACCCTAGAAACCTTATCATGGATGAATTCTAAGGCCTTATCCCCTTGAACTCGTCCACCTTATCCTATAGGGCATCCATTGTCCTACTTTGCAACTATCACATAATTACAGTTCAGCCCCTCTAGTTTAGTTAACTTATTTTAATCACAAAATTAATTCTTGACCAATGGTAACTAAATAAATATGATTTATCCCTTAATATATTATTCATATAATATATTAGTAAACCATAACAACCTCTTTCTCTATTATTTCTCCAATCAAGTAGCTTTGGTGAAGGCAACCCAGAAGGACCATGCACAACCGGGTCAAGTACTTACCAAATATGGTTACAGGCTTAGATACTAATCCAACAAAGATAACAGAAATGAGTAGAGTTCCATATGCTTCTGCCGTTAAATCTATCATGTGTGCTATGCCCTGTACTCACCCTGATGTGGCTTTTGCTTTGAGCATGGTCAATCATTATCAAGGAAATCCAGGTCGAGCTCACTGGATAGCAGTTAAGAATATTCTCAAGTATCTACAAAGAACTTAGGACTGAGTTCTTGTACTTGGTGGCAATGATACGTTGAGAGTAATCGGGTATAGTGATGCTAGTTTTCAAACATATAGAGACAACTTTCGTTCTCAATCTGGTCGGGTGTTACCCTTAATGGAGGAGCAGTAACCTAGAAAAGTTCCAAACAGGAGACGGTGGCTAATTCTACTCGTGAATCAAAGTACATAGCAACAAGTGAAACATCAAAGGATGCGATTTGGTTAAAAAACTTCATTAGAGACCTTGAAATTGTTTCATCCATCAAGGAGTAGAATAAGGTCACTTCATATCGACATAAAATGCCATTTCATCAGACATAGAGTAGAATAAGGTCACTTCATTGTGAAGATGATATCATCAGAAGACAATCCAAAAGATTCCCTCATGAAGAGTCTGAGTAGGGTCAAGCACATTATGCATGCTAAGAGCTTTGGTCTGAAGGATGATATTAGTTTTAGCGGGTAGATAATTATTTAGAAACTTGGAACAAAATAAATATATCTGGTTTTTGGTGATCAAGTAATGGAGATTTGTTTATGAGTTGGGTTACTACCTTTTGTATATTGTTTATTTTGTGTTTCATTTTGCATGTTTTACTTCCAGAGTAATTGGATTATTCAAACATCCATAGTCGATCATACTTTTGGAAGTAAGTAGTGAATTAAGGATGTGATTAATTGGATGGTAGATTGTCTAAGGGTTTAGACATAGCAATGGTTTGCTGCAACATTCATGAGTACTTGAAAAAAAGAATTTTAAGTATTGGATTAACCCACACTCAGAGAATTACTTCATGAAATTTATCACGAATAATTCTGATACGATAATATCTTATAATCTTTAAACGGAGATATATGAGCCGTGGTTTACAAACCAATTGTACATTGATACTATGTAAACACATAACTTAATGTTATAAAACATATTGTTATGCATAATTTGGTGAGTAAAAAGCACAAGCATATAAGTCAAAGTTTATCTATTACTTTTTGCCTTAATAAGGAAAAATGATATATTTAGGCCCCTCGATGATTTAGTGTTGACTTATAGTGTCGGGCCCAACCATGACTAAATTGACATGTTCGATTAGTAGTTTTTTGTCATTACAAATCATAAATCGGGAACACAAATTATTGGAAAATGAGATTGATTTTGTTCCATGTCTTATGTCCACATGATATCTTGCAGAACAGATGATTATATGATCACTTATCTTAAGACACATTACTGACTAGGTTAGAGTCCAACAACGTCTTTTGAGAGCTACAATTTGCTAATCAGTTTTTGAAGTTATACTGACAACTATATTTATTAGACCTATCCAAGTGAGAGACTATTGAATTAGGTGTCTAAGCCCATAACTATAATTTGTATATATGTATATTGATAGTAGCACAATCCTTTAGGTTGTCCTCAAAACTAACTAAAGATGATGATTTTCGAGAAAGAGACTGATTTATTATTTGATTAATAATCTGAAATAAATAATTTGTTAATATATTATAAGAATAATATATAAATTAGAAATAATAATATTTAATTAGAAATTAATTGAAATTAATTTTGGGATTAAATGAATTAATTAAAAGTGCAGGGACTAAAGTGCAATTGTTCAATAGTTGAGCAAGAGACAATCTAGAACCCTTCATTAGGCTTGGATGGTTTCTTCATGCCTAAGGGATTCTAGAATAATCGTTGATGGATAAACATGAAAGTGGATAATTAGTCGATTTAAGATAATATTAGATTAGGGCTTATCTAAGGTTTCCTGACTGCACCATATATACAACTCAACCCTAGAATTTTCGGCCACTTGCTTCTTGGAAGATCTAGCCGAATATTCTAGCCTCTCTCCTCCTTCTCAATCATCTTCATTTTCTAGTGTTGGGTGTGAACCACGACGTGATATTTGTGACGCTTGCTTTAAAGGCTTCAACAACACAAGATTTTTTCATTGTTATTACTAAATAGAAATCAAGGTATGATTCTTCTAACCTTATTTGTATTTTTCGAAAATATGCTAGTGTTCTAGGGTTTCTATTTTGTTGTTCAAGTTTTATGTTCAATTAGAGAAAACATAGATCAATTATTAGGGTTGCATACACACAAGATTTATATGTTTTGCATATGAACCATCAAGAGGTTGTATTGGGTTACAAAAATGTGAACGTTGGGAGGATTTTGTTAATTACCGTTTTTTCAAAAAAAATCAAAAATCAAAAATCATCCATTTTTACCTTATATAAATATCTATCTTTTTCATATTTTATCCCATTTCACTACTTTCAAATTATCACTCAAACAATCTTTTTTTTTTTTTTGAAAAAATAGCTTCTTTCTCCAACCCAGAAGCTAAAAAATACCAAATGAAACACTCAAAACCCAAATGTCTCACTTTCTTCGCCAACTTTCATTCAAAATTAACGTGATCAGCCTATTTATTCTCCACCGAATCTATATTTTGGTGGTGTTTACCACCCATTCCAAGCCAAAATTAACCTCAACACCAAAAACAACCTCAACTTCAAAACCAATCACAATTTCAAAGACAACTCCAATTTCAAAACCAACCATAAATGAACTTCTCATCCCAAATGATGCATGTGTTCAATTCATTTGATGATATTCTTGACTTCCCAATGAACCACCAAATTGAATTCAAATTGAAGCGGAACATGAAGTCGTCCCGGAAACAGAATCTGAGCCGGAAGAGAATCCACTACAAAAAAAAAATGGAAGGGCGCCTCTCGTAAATCTGTCAAAAAAATGATTTGGTTCGTCTAAAAGAACCAAATCATCTGATGTGCATATTGGGATTGATCTCAATGAAGATGAACATTTTAAGGTTCCAACAGCCACTCATCCCATGGGAAAAGACAAGGCCAAACGAACGGGAAAAACGGCGGTAACTATTTCCAAAGATGTCGGCAAACTATCAAGAAAAATGGACGGCTTGAAGTCTTTATTGCACATGAGAAATAAAAAAAACTCATGAAATGTCCATTTTAACGAGACCCACAAACGAGTTATCCGGACGCGAACAAGAAATGATTTTAAAAGCCAAAAAGGAGCTTGCAAAAAATATAACATCTGGTTTAGGTTTTTTTTTTTTTTTTAATTTTATTGTCTTTTTTTTTATTTTTTTTTAATTTTTTTTACATTTCTATGTTTTTTAAAAATTTTAGGTTTGTAATTTGAATTTCTATGTTCTTTTTCGATGTGTTGTATTTTTATTTTAAGTTTTTTTAAAAAAAATGTTATGCTTAAATTATTTATTTTGTATATTAAAAAAATAACATAACAAGTTTTGATAAGAAATGACAAATATGATTTGGCGCTTACGGGACCATGAATGTAACACCATACCCAAGCCTAAATAACTTAATATTCAATATCTAGACAGTTATATAATTTCATATTCGCACCTTTAACATGAACAAAATCTAGACGATCATAAATACCTTTTAACCGATACAAGAAAGAAAAATAGAATTCATTTTTCAGTCCGTTTCAAAAAAAAAAAAAAAAAAAAAAAAAAAATCGTTTTCAGTTATTATTTATTATTATGAAATGATCGATAACAATCAGGCCCCACCACCCTCCCACACTTTTTCTATTTTGTCTTGTTAATTTCCCTCTGCTTTACTTTTATTCTTTTATTTTTCACATATTTCTCCGCAGACTGCCGTCCCCAAAAGGCCAAAACTCTCACACTACATCTCTCTCTCCTCATTCCTCAATCATCGTCTTCCTTATGTCCCCTTTATTTCCGTAACTCCAGGTAGTTGTTCATGAATTCAAAGCTCCCTATGTTTTCTTTATTATTAGCTATACCATTCATTTTTATATGATTATTCATCAGCGCACTTTGGCTGTTGTTCGGATTCATGGATATATTGTTGGTTGTTTGTTTCATGATTCCGGCAATGTAAGAGATTTCGACGACCTTTAATTTTACCAAAGGAGAGTTTGAAGCTGCAACTTACAGTTGTGGATTTAGGTTTTTTTTGTCAAGGAAACCGGGAATCTATTTACTAGGTGTTTCGGATAAGGATTAATTCACCAGATCATATGCAGCACCTTGGAGTTGGGTTGATTTATTTTAGATTTTGATTAATGGAGGCTAAATTTGGGGAAAAGTCCCATCATTACTATGGGCCAGTCCCAGTCGTGTCCGATTTGAAGGCTGTCGGCAAGAGAACAATGGAATGGGATTTAAATGACTGGAAATGGGACGCTGATCTGTTTACCGCCACTCCATCGGATTACAGTAGCAGACAATTGTTTCCCGTTACTACATCCGAACTTCAGACAAACACAGGTGCGTCTAACAGTTCTTCATCTTGTTCTGTCGAAATCAATCTGCAAAATCAGAAAGGGAAGAGGAGGGTTATGGTCCTTGATGAAGAAGAGGTATGTGGTGAAGCTGGAGCTCTAAACCTCAAACTCGGTGCTGGTGGTCAAGTATACCCCATAACCGAAGACGAGGTTGAGAGATGGGAGGGGAAGACTGGGAAGAAGACCAAAGTTGCTGGAACTACATCCAATCGTGCAGTTTGTCAAGTAGATGATTGTAGAACGGATTTAAGCAATGCTAAGGATTATCATAGAAGGCATAAAGTTTGTGATTTGCATTCTAAAGCCACCAAAGCACTGGTGTTGAATGTTATGCAGAGGTTTTGTCAACAGTGCAGCAGGTTTCATGTTCTTCAGGAGTTTGATGAAGGAAAAAGAAGCTGTCGCAGGCGTCTAGCTGGACATAATAGAAGGAGAAGGAAGACACATCCTGAAAATACAGTTAATGGTGTGTCCTTGAATGATGAACATGGGAGTAGTTACTTGCTCATTAGTCTTTTGAGAATACTCACCAATATCCACTGTAAGTGCTTGAACATAATACTATATATTGGCATATCTCTGTAATTTATATGTTAACTTTTTATTTATTGCAGCCAATACCTCAGATCAAAGGAGTGAGCAAGATTTGGTCACTCATCTACTGAAGAATCTTGGCAACATCAATGCTAGCAACTTATCTCGATTAATAACTGGATCTCAAAATTTCACGAATGCTTCCACATCCATTCCAACCCTTGAGAAGGTAAATACAGACACAGGTGCATAAATTAATTATCTGTAAAACTGAATTCAACATCTAAGAATGAAGATTTGTTTATAGGAGGCTTCACAGCCTTTAGAATATGAAACAATGGAAAATGGAGGAGCTTTACAAATAACTGACCCCTCAAACAACAACATCTCATTCCAACCTAAATCCAGTCCTATGGAAGCTACTGTTGGAGTTGGAAGGATGAAATTTAACACCATTGACCTTAACAATGCTTATGATGATTCTCAAGATTGCATGGAAACCTTTGATACCTTTGAAAATACAGACAATGTCCCCATGTGGTTACGTGGGGGGGACCCACACAAATCAAGTCCACCTCAGACATCAGGCTCCACAGCAACACAGTCACCATCTAGCTCCAGTGGCGAGGCACAGGTATTAAGTTTTATGTATACGTCTAAAATAGTATAGTACAATCCTTTTTTTTTTTTTTTTTTAAATGAAAAATATCTTTAAAGAGATTTTTTTTTCTTCAAAATTTCAGAGTCGTACAGACAGGATTGTATTCAAGCTATTTGGAAAAGATCCAAACGAGTTGCCTGTTCTCCTCAGAAACCAGGTCTTTTTTTTTACTTCTTGTAGACTATATGGTGTTCTGATAATTTTATTTTTGTGCTGAATTTGGTAAACTGTTTAAAATACAGATTCTTGATTGGTTGTCACAAAGTCCAAGTGATATTGAAGGTTATATCAAGCCCGGATGCATCATATTATCTATTTATCTTCGAATGGATAATTCCTCTTGGGATGAGGTACATTTCCTTGTCACTCCATCCCCAATAATATTATATACAGTTAATTACATTTTTGGTCCCTGAGTATAACTGATATTTTCAATTTTGCTCCCAAAGGTGGTTTGAGGTTTTTGTAACGTTTGTAAAATGAGTATATGTTTGTTGCAGCTTTGCTATGATTTAAGCAGTAATTTGAGGAAGCTTCTGGAAGCATCTAGCGATTCTTTTTGGAGAACAGGATGGATTTACACTAGGGTGTTGGATCATGTTGCATTTGCATGCGATGGTTAGTTCTTGTAATCTTTTTATACACACATAATATGTTTTCAAGAACAAAAAAAAAAAAGTTACTTTATTATTATTATTATTATTTTTTAATTCTTAATCTCACCAAGATTCTTGATTTCTTGCGTATACAGGCCAGATTGTTCTGAACACATCTTTACCTCATAATAAAAACTCAACCATTTTGAGTGTTAAACCCATAGCAGTTTCTTTCTCTGAAACTGCTCAATTTTCAGTCAAAGGCTTTAGCTTTTCATGGTCAACATCAAGGTTGACTTGTGCCCTAGAAGGCAGTTACCTTATCCAAACAAATTGCTCAGATGTAATGGACGGTGGAGATTCGTCGATCAGGCACGACCACCACCTCCAGTCTCTAACCTTCTCCTGCTCTATACCTAACATCCATGGTAGAGGCTTCATTGAGGTGATCTTTATTTTCTGAATCCTCCTTAATTTTTTCAAAGATTTTGAGGAATCTTCTTATGTTTTAATTTTTTGATTAGATCGAGGATGACAGTCTGAGCAGCAGTTTCTTTCCATTTATAGTTGCGGAAGAAGACGTGTGTTCAGAAATCCGTACACTAGAAACCGATATAGATGATTCAAAATTAGAAGCAAGAAATCAAGCACTAGATTTTATAAATGAAATGGGTTGGCTTCTACATCGAAGCCAATTAAAATCAAGATTATCATCATCCATGGATCCAAATTCAGATCCTTTTTCGTTTGACCGATTCAGATGGCTCATAGAGTTTTCAGTTGACCATGACTGGTGTCATGTGGTCAACAAACTATTGACCCTAATCTTCAAGGGTATAACAGTAATAAACCACACTTCAGTTGAAACCGCCTTGATGGACATCGGTTTACTCCATCGAGCTGTGAGAAGAAATTCAAGACCCATGGTTGACTTTCTGTTGAACTTCCGTGGGCCCGGGCCCGGGGCCGTTTTCTTTAAACCTGACGCGGTGGGGCCCGCTGGTTTGACACCTCTTCATATTGCAGCTGGTAAAGATGGGTCTGAGGATGTGCTCGATGCATTAACAAATGATCCTCAAATGGTAATTGTTTTCAAATTTCAGTTTAATTTAAGTAAGCTGTAGAAAATTGTCTGATTTTTTGTGAATTGATTTAAAAGGTGGGGGTTGAAGCATGGAGAAAAAGTCATGACAGTAGTGGCTTAACACCTTATGATTACGCGTCCCTTAGAGGCCATTACCCTTACATTCATTTGGTTCAAAGAAAGATGAATAAAAACAAGGGACATGTGGTGGTTGATATTCCTTTAAAAACAAAGGTGAAGGAGGGGGCAGAATTGTCATTGTCATTTAAGGGATTTGAAATGGAAAAGGAAAAGGAAAAGGAAAAGGCATTGGTGTTTAAGGGAAGGTGTAATGCGTGTGAAGGGAAGTTGGGGTATTATGGTGGGGTGAGATCCTCGCTGGCGATATATAAGCCAGCGATGCTGTCCATGGTGGCGATTGCTGCGGTTTGTGTGTGTGTGGCGTTGCTTTTTAAGAGTTCGCCCCAAGTTATGTTTGTGTTCCAGCCTTTTATTTGGGAAAGGCTCAAGTATGGGGCAAGTTAAATTAAAAGCTTATATATTATATACAGGTAATTTTTCAAGACTTTGTTTTCAATGTATTAATATTATATATAGAAAAGGGCTGGATTTGTATGGATGGATATGAACTTCAAGTTGGGTGTTTGCATATTTATATGTATATTTTGGTGCTTGTATTTTCTCATGATTTCCATACTTTATTTTTTATATGATTTGTAGGGTAATTTGTTTCTTCATTTTGCTTTGTTGAAGTTGATTTTTTGTTCATAAATCACATCAATAACCATATAGTTAAGTCAACAACTTGCTACATAAATCACATCAATAAACATACCAATAATAGTATAGTCAACAAAAGCATTGTATTTTATTCGTTTTTAAATTAAAAGACGTTGATGTTTTAGTTAGCAAACATAGAACATTCGGTTTTCAAATGAATTGATGTATCCAAATTAATTGACTCAAATCTTCGGTCTCTAAGTTAGTAGACACAACCCTTTGTGATACAATTTCCATCAAGGTTAGCAGACACCGAAGCTTCTTTCTTCAAATTAGGAGACACCAAACCATTTGTTATATAATTTCATCAAAATTAGCAAACAAGGAACCTTCAACTTCCAAATTAACAAACACATATACAATTGAACATTTTATATTCTTCCACCAAAACACTATAAACAACAACAGGAATAAGAACAAATGGATTATGATCTAAAACTAAAAAAATGGATCCAAACGATTTTTTTAAACCAAAATTAAGGGGTTTTTTTGAAAAAAAAAAAGTTAGGCTTTTTAGTTTTTGGAAAAAACATCAATTCCCGAGCTTGCTAAAATTGTCAGAAATAGGGTTTTTTTTTTTTTTTTTTTTTTTTTTTTTTTTTTTTTAAATAAAAAATAGTTAGATTTAAACAGAAAAATATAAAATATAATTTTTTTATAACATCTGACAATTCTTTATCACATTTTTAACATTGTTATAAATTAACTATTAAATTTGGGAAATTGCTTTATGAACGACCTTCATTACAAAAACATTTAAACTTTTTTATGGATTATTGTCCCAAAACATTTTAGATATTACATATCCAAAATATAAAAAATGATATTTTATGATAGGTCGTTTTAGTAATTACCCCTATAGTTTAGATATAAAAGGTAACTTTAGGTCATAATTTCTTAAATATGTTTTTTTTTTTTTTTTTTTTTTAGAAAAAAATTGGTTGCAATTTGGAGATTTTTTAAATACTATATATTATTCCATTCCATTATTTTTTGTTTACAAAACGATGGAAAGACCTGATTTATGTAGCAAAATTTTGCGACTTTCTCGATCCAAATCATGTTATCGTCGGCGGCGCCTTCAATTTCTTTCCCATTCCACAACCACAACTGCAACGGCAACGGCAACCACCATCACAATTACTGCATTGCTCCTCCTCGATTCGTAATTCGATGTGCAATTGCGTCAGCTTCTTCCCCAAAGAAGAACAAGTTGTGGAAGCAAGGTGAGCACCCGGGACGTGTATCGGAAAACTCATCCAACAGAAGAACGCCGATTAAGAACATTAAGAAGAAGCTCGACCGTAAAGCTAACCTTAATCCTTGGGTAAATACGGTTACTGAAGCCTTATCTGAATCCGTCGACGTAAAACAGTGGTCAAGAGCTCTACAGGTAATCATATCCTTCAAACTAATGGATTTTATTTCGCGAATTAGGACCGACTACTGAAAATGCTGGATCTAAATTCTCCAGATATTTGAGATGCTGAAAGAACAAGCATTTTATCAACCCAAGGAAGGAACTTACATGAAGCTCATCGTTCTACTCGGAAGATGTGGGCAACCAAAACATGCCCGCCATCTGTTCGACGAAATGATCCAAGAGGGACTAGAGCCAACATCACAACTCTACACAGCTTTGCTCGCTGCTTATTGTCGAAGTAATCTAATAGACGAAGCATTCAAAATCCTCAACCAAATGAAGACCCTTCCTTTATGCCAACCAGATGTTTACACCTTCAGCATCCTAATGAAAGCTTGTGTCGATGCTGCAAGATTTGAACTTGTCGAATCCATTTACCACCAAATGGATGAAAGATCCATCACTCCCAACACTGTAACACAAAACACAGTCTTAGCTGGATATGGGAAAGCAGGGAAATTTCAAGAAATGGAAAAGGTGCTTTTGAATATGCTTGATAGCGATACATATACACCAGATGTCTGGACAATGAACACGATTCTGAGCTTATTTGGCAACATGGGTGACATCGAATCAATGGAAAGATGGTATGAAAAGTTGAGAAACTTTGGAATCGAACCAGAAACACGCACTTTCAACATTCTAATAGGTGTATACGGGGAAGAACAAGATGTATGACAAAATGTCATCTGTAATGGAGTACATGAGGAAGCTTTCATTTCCATGGACAACATCCACCTACAACAATGTAATTGAGGCATTTTCAGATGTGGGTGATGCCAAGAACATGGAATACACCTTTAAGCAAATGCAAGGAGAGGGAATGAGAGCAGACACCAAGACTTTTTGCTGTTTGATTAGAGGGTATGCAAATGCAGGGGTGTTTCATAAGGTGGCAAGTGTTGTGGAGTTAGCTAATGAAATGGAGATTCATGAGAAATACAAGTTTTTATAATGCAGTGTTATATGGTTGTGTAAAGGCTGGTGATTTGATGAAGATGGAGGAAGTGTTTAGGAAGATGAAACAGGAAGAATGTAGGCCTGATGCAGTGACTTATTCTATAATGGTGGAAGCTTATAAAAAGGAAGCCATGGATGATAAGGTGCATGATTTAGAACAGGAAAGACTGAAGATTGGTGTTTGTTAATTGAAGGAAAGGTTTTGTATAAATGTAGATGGTTTTGTTTAGGATAATCATATGTGTTGTCTTCTGTATTACAACAAATGAATTGTTATTTTGTTTTTTGGACTATAGATAAAATTTGACATCAATGTTTTGGCTTTGTCACCATTTAGTCCTTTAAGTTCAAATCATGCGAAATTAGACCATAAAGTTTTGGTTTTGTCACAATTTAGTATTCGGTTAAATCTTTTTCATCTTGACAGATAGTTTTTTCAAAAACATAAATAAATAATAACCTATATGATACATTATTATGTAACGTTTTACTTGTATGGAAATAAATTAGAAAACCTCCAACAATATATAACTCACTTTTCATATAACATACAATTCCAATCTCCACACTAAAGATGTAATTTGAAAAGTGGAATAGATAACATAAATTATTAAATATTCGATATTGATTCGTTTTTACTAAATTATGTAAGTTTGAATCGGCATCATTGATATGATCTTCGTTAGGACTGTGAGAATACTACCTTCAACATCATTTTTTTTCCCATGTTTATCAAGTGCGTCTTCAAAGTGATTATTGATCTTTAAATATTGTGCTAAAACGAGGTAATCTTTTCCCTTAGTTGCCACCAATCGATAATATTAAATTGGGAATATTGTTCTTGGATACTAGCTAGGTCTCATTTTTTTTTTCTTTGTTAACATTTTTTTTGCTTAATTGGGTTTTGTTTTTTTGGATGCTAGCTGTGACATGCCAATTTCAAATTCAATGCGAATTTCAAGCACTTGTGGGGTTCGGTTCATTGAACCTTTCTCTGATGTCTGGTATCTGGCTTTTCAGAAAAAGAAAAAGAAAAACAGTTATAAGAATAAAGCAGTGGATCGATGTGGATGTGGATGAAACTTGAATGCAACGTGTATTCGGAGGCAAATCAAGTATTGGTTTTACATTAATAAAGCTACTATTTTAGTCGTGTTTGGATTGGTTCTGGAATCACTAAATCGATGCATTTTCAAGTTCTTTTCTGGTCGTTGACGTTGACTTCAAGTCATGAACATAAATATACATATTTGACGTGAATAAAAGGTTTATTTTTAATCATTGTTGGTCCACCACTGACTACTTCACTAGGTTCTAAATTTTGGTTTATTTAAATAAAAAGATTATCAGAAAAATAATTGCACAAGTCTTTTTCTTATAATAAAACTATTATATATTCATTGACTAATACATGATTGGTAATGTATTTAAAAGAGTTCATAAAATCCACCTCATTGTCTTTCATTTTATCATTTTATGCTACATGATCTAAGTTTATATATTTATTTTTATGCAAGATATACAATATAAGTATATAACTATTAAAAACACGAAAATTGCATAACGAAACAAAGGTTTTTAATGATAAGCAAATTCATCTTTCATTTCATTAACATGAGTAGACACAATATTTTTTAGTCAAGACAATTTAAATGTGTCAGCACATTTTATGTTACTTATTTAAGGATGATCTAAGTTTATATATTTATTTCATGTGGTTTGTTGTTCTGTTTAAATTAAGTTCAAAAATTTTATATATGTGAAGTTGCTCCGATTTGGTTTGTTCTTTTTCATCAACATTGCAATGGTAGTGAGATGTGGTGGGTCAACGATGGAACTAAATCAAGCTTTTAAATGTTCAAATTATCAGATTAACACTCTTGAGTCATAGATTCATTTGTAATTAAGTTTTCGAAAGATTAATAACATGTTTAGGATGTTATTGATGACTATTAGGAGAAGTATAATAAATCTAGGTGACTCTATGATGTCAATAGAAATTTATAACTTAGATTGAAAGTTTGATGTCTTCATGAGTGCTTAATAAGCAACCTTGAGACCTTAAATTGTTAAGTCATAAATAAAATTAGATGTAATAGCACAATAAAATATGTTGTTAGGACTTATTACATCTATTGAAGTCACTATGAAGGTATATTAAAGGTTTGGAAGCAAATACACCAAAGTATATTACCTAAAACTCTAATAAAACATGTTTTGGGCACCTACTAGGCATTACACAGGCCATGTATATGCGTGGGCATCTACATGGTCCGTATACCCTTTTGGATGGGATGGAAATTTAGACTAATAAAATTTTGGCCCAAATTGTCTCCATAGCTTCCTTAGTACTTCATTAATGGTATGTAATGGTTGATGTGAATTATTTATGGTTAAAAATTATGTATATTTTTTAATTTGTATAATTAATCCTTGGTAAATGTTTCACTTATTAACCATATGTAACACTTGTGCCTTGGTACATACCACTTGGTACGCTTAGCGTAGTGGTTGGTAAATCCTTGTGACCCTTCTATTTTGAAATTATGCATTTGGTCCCTGAAGTAGTATGCGGGGCATACCACTTGGTACGCTTAGCGTACTGGTTGAAAAGCCAGTACATAGGGCATACCTCTTGGTACGTTGAGCGTACTGAGTCAATGGCGAGTCGGGACCCAAGTCACGTACGCTAGGCGTACATAGACTTTAGTGAAACCCTAACAGAGGGTCTTACACACTATATAAGCCACCTTATTCTCTAGGGTTGGCCTCATTACCAACCTCTAAAGCCTCCAAAACCCTAAATCGTGTTCTAACCTCCATTGTTAAGCATTTGGGCCTTTGAATAAAGTTTGGTGTTCATTTTGTGCATTTTGAAAGGAGTTAGAAGATCTTGAAGTTGCTAAGCTTGGAGAGAAGTGATAGTTTTTTAGCATAACAACAATCATATGTGTGCATGCAACCCTAATGCTTTGGATCTAGGTTTTCTCTAAATGAACATGCAAACTTGAACACAAAAGGAGAAACCATCGGAAGCAACTACAATTTTCGAGATCTATATAAAACTAGGGTTTGGTTACATATCTTGATTTTTATATTGTAATAACAATAATTCACTTGTAGATCTTGAAGCTTGGAAACTTAGTGTCATAAGTGCAACACCTCTAATGGCTCACAAACACACAATGCAAGAAAATGATATGAAAGAGGAGGAAGATCGATTTTTCGGTTTCTACTTCTTCTAAAGAGTGGTCGAAAATCAAAGAGTTTATAACCATTTATATAGTGCACCAAATATTCTATAGATAACCCTAATTTGAATAAAATATCATTACCTCAAATATGAGAATTATCCACCTCCTTTAATTATCCATATACTCTAGAATAATCTTATACATACACATCAATTTCGTCCACCACCTTCCCTAGGAAGGTTCTAGACCCTTTTGCTCAACTATTGAACAATTGCACTTTTAATCCCTACACTTTTAATTAATTCCATTAATCCCAAAATTAATTCCAAATTAATTTATGATTAAATATTAATCAATAATATGATTACAAATTAATATATTATTTCCATAACATATTAATAAATCATTTATTTCAGTTTATTAACCAAATTAATAAATTCTTACTCTTCCTCAATTAATCATCTTGTCTAGTAGCAAGTATGAAGGAAACCCAAAAGGATCATGTCACTATCAATTCAAGTACATACCAATTATAGTCATGGGCTTAGACACATAATCCAACAGTCTCCCACTTGGATAAGTCTAATAACTATACTTGCAAGTATGACTTAAAAAACGGACAAGTAATCGTAGCTCTCAAAGCTTTTTTCGAACTCTGACCTAGTCAGTTGCGTGTCCTAAGATAAGTGATCAAATATTCTCCGTTTTACAAGATATCGTATGGACATGAGACATGGATTATAATCACTCTCTCTGTCCAAGATTTGTTTTTCCCGATTTTTGATTTATGACGAATGATATCAAACTACTATTGAACACATCAATTCAGTCCAGGCTTGGCCAAACGCTTTAGATGTCATCATCAAATCATCGAGTGGCCCACAAAGATCGCTTTTCCGGTTAGGACAAAAGGAACGGATAAACTTCGACTTATATGATTGCATTACTCACTCATTAAATCACACAAAACAATACGTTTTTATAACATGAAGTTACTAATGCATTTACGTATTATCAATGCACAACTGACTCCTAAACAACAACTCATATATCTACGCTTCAAGAATATAAGATATTATCGTCTCAAAATTACTCGTGATAAAATCCATGAAGTAATTCTCTGAGCGTGGGTTAATCCAATACTTAAATCCCCATTTCAAAAGTACTCATGAATACTGCAACAAACCATTGTTATGTCTAACCCCTTAGACAATCTACAGTCTGATTCAAGACAATCTTAATTCACTACTTACTTTCAAAAGTATGATCGACTATAAATGTTTGAATAATCCAATTATTCGAAAAGTAAAACATGCGAAGTGAAACACAATAATAACCTAATTAACTATGGTCACAAAACTATTGAATATAAATAAAACACTTATTGTTTAATCACCACATTAATTAGACTTTATTAATTGTATAATGTTTTGATTAATCAACTAAACACTTGAATTAAACACCAGTCATGCCATGTTATAAACATGCATACTATGTCACTTTATGGTCCTTCCTTTGTGAACAAATCAATTGGACATACTTCCAACGATGCTTATATCACAATCCCAAATCATTATTACATGTGTAATAATTCCAAATTATTGTCATCACTAAACATGTTAGAGTCTAACCTTACATGCAATATCCTTTTGTGATGACGTGGCATCAAAGTCACCGAGACTTAATCAACGATGTCACAAAATGCTTTATTGAAACTTTGTTACTAAAACAAATTCAAGGTAACTCCTTGAACACCTTCCTTGCGTTAAGGTTTCTAAGTCACATGTAGATTTCAATAACCAACTCTTATTATGGAAACATTTCCATATTCCCATATGACAATCAATTCTAAACAAGAGTCACCTTATTCCAAAACATGCCAGTATGGTCCGTCCAAATTAATATTATACTTCCAACTGTCCACAAGCAACAAATCTTTTGGAAAACCTCATACTATTCTTGACAGTTGTTTGACAACTTTAGGCACATCTTGT